ACTCATGAAATTTTATGAATCCATTAAAATTTTGCATTACAATTTTTAAGTTCTCACCGGGAAAACTGTGCTTCAAAATTGAATAAATTTTGCAATTTTCAACTCTCTCGCACGCTCGATGACATTTTCGACTTCGCTAATTTCCTTGTTGCGCTAGTAAGTGCGAGTAACACAGACGCAGCGCGAATCACGTGCTCCCGGACAGGCGCCCCTTTATTCTGACCTATGTACACGCAAAGGGTTAATTCATGGCAAACTGTCCTGCGTGCGGAATATATTTATTACCTGACCCCGCCCTTCGTTTTCGCCTTTCAATCAGGACTAGATTAAGGGTTGGAAAAATAACCTTGACTACCTCGCAGGCTGTCTCCTGCTGACTCGAACAGCTTTAAACGCGAAAGGGTTCAGTGGTCAGCAATGGTGGTCTGCCTGGCTTCACGGTCACCACTAGTTTGCCATGGTACCCAATTTGCCATAGGCCCTTCTACAATATAAAGCGTTCAGTTTTTCTTTCATAATCTCCTTTCCAATCTTCTTGACACTGTCTTGACCCCGGGCTCGGGTGTGTGTGAGGAGAAAGACGGTGCTGTAGATACAACACAAGTCTACTATTATATATATATATATATAATCTAGGTGTAGGGTACCGTTCACGTACCACTAGACTGCGGAGCAAATGATGAATACCATCAAAATGGACATTCAGACTGTCCTTTGTGTCTAAAAACTAGGACGTTGAGGACGAAATGACATGAACGGACTGCTAGCATCTAAATCCCATGATTCATGAGCATTCTCAGCGTCAGCGCATTGTTGGATCATATTTACTGGTGGAGTGACGCATTTTGAAGAGATTATGCATGATAGTACATGGAGAGATATTTTAACGTCTCGGCTTTTACTAAAAATTCCAGCATTTTGCAAGGGACATGTTGCCTTCTCTTAGAGATCAGGTTTGTGAATGACGTAATTTTCTAAAACTGAGCCCCTAACTGGATTTCTTGTATTTCTCACTAATAAATTATGATCAGATTTCCGCAATTATCTAACATGGATGGGTAATATGAGGTCACATTTGTTATCCTACTTAAGCCCTCATTCCACCTGAATCCACGTTGTGGAGCTTCAGCCAATTTTCACTGAGGCTGTTCACCTATCGTGCGTTCCTTGCAAGTATGATTCTGATCGGACATTCCATGTCGCTGAATGAAGCATCTTCATCTCACCAATAATTTTGTTTTTGTATTGCTATGTTTCGTTAGCATACCGAGACTTATGTCCTACTAGTTATAACTGACCAATGACATTTAAGTCGTCGTACTTGTTAGATTGCTCGCCAGGTTTTGGTAGGTACAGTAGATTGTATATCTCATGAAATGTGAAGATCAAAATTTGCGTGGGTGATTTATCTTGCATTTGAGGTTGTTTATTTTGTTCAGTGAGTTGACTTGAGGTACAAAAGGTTGTTTACTAGCAAGGAATTAGGTCCAGATCAGTATACTGGGAGCAAAATGAGGTCAAGTGGGGCCAAATTCAACGTTTGTTGATATCCAAGGAATTTTCTACGCTATTAAACGCTGCCAAGGCTGTTATTTGCTATACCCCACCGATAATAACGATCGTAAGCAAGCATAAACACAAACACCTGAGACATGCCGTCAATTTCCTCTGTCAAGGCGTATGTCAAATATGTTCAAAATTTTTTTTATATAGAGCAGAATCAATGGATAAAAAACGGAACGGGTAGAAGATTATTAGTGTTCTCAAAAGCATCGTTGATATTATGCCAGTCTGCTTTGCTATTGTCATCTTAGAAGTGAGCTCAATGCTAGAAGTAAAAAAATATATTGAAAACTGCTCCGGTTGACACAGAAATGCTAGCCCTTCCCTTTACAACAGAATATGTATCCTACATTTTTAGGACAGTCAAAAAACTGGCCAAAATTTCTCTTTCTATTCTTGACTTCATTTTCAAAAAGTAAAGTACACAAACAATCGACTCCAAAATGTATAATTAAAGCGTTTTTTTAAGAAGTAACTTTTTATAGAAAATTTTTATTTCAATCCTAGGCATATTCGTTCGCAACTTTTGTTGTGGACGTTCATTTTTTTTCGGGAAAACTTGACACGTTTGGATCATTCTGAAACCATGACCCAAACAGACAGCTGCATAAGAAAGAATTTGTAAAAGCTCGTCATTTAGGTAAATGCTTTTAAGAAATATCTTATTTTGAAGGGTTTGGTAAGCACGTACAATATAATCATTATTTATGTTCAATCGACTGAAGCCAGTGAAAATCATAAAGTGTTACTTACTACTTCAAGGAACTTCTTAACCTCCTCGTTATTGAAATCTCAAAATAATTACAAAGAAGTGTGACAGAAACAGATTTCTCTTCGGTTACAAGAAATGGTGCCTTTACAGTTGCACCTGACAATTCCATTTAAATTTATAAGTCACTGACCGGAATATCCGCACGTGAGCTCATGAAATATCTTACTCCTGTGACCTCCCAATGGGCAAAATCAAGTGAAAATGTGGTTACCTTAGTCCAAGTTAACTCAAGCAATGCACAAACGAAAGAAACAACTAGCAATTCTCGTGAAAACGTTTTGGAATACATACTCAAAATGCGGGCTGTTAGGTAACAGCCATACATTACATTACACGTTATATGAAACCATGTTTACCCGAAAATGTTTTTAGACGATTATTTTCCAACGTAATTGTACTTGTGCTGCTGTATTCACTCTGTGGTTTTGCATGAACAGGCTTCCTCTACAGGTGAAGCTTTAGTTTACCCAGTAAGCCCGATTTCACTTTTTTAGAATTTCCCGCCTTACCAAAAAAGTTGGTATTTCTAAAAAAACGTTATATTCTTTCATAAATCTCAATGCTCCCTATTGTGAAGAACGACCATTACTTTATTGCTGTTAGACTTTGGGCCGGTAGTCTTGGCTGCGTTTGAGTAACAGGGAGTTATATGTAAATATTATTTGGACTTCATGAGTTAGAACACCTACTGTACTTCCCCAAAACCATGTTCTGCCACGCCCTTATTATGTAGAGAATTCTCAAACCTGTATACATTTAAACAACTGGTAAGGTCGTCTTTTAACAAAGGAAATTGGACATAGGCGGACACAAAGTATGTTTTGCAACCAGCAGGGGGCATAACAAATGCAAGTGCAAATTTTCCTTAAAGCACTCATTAATACTACATTTTTAAGGGCTTGGGTACAGGAGAGTCCTGCATAATTTTAAACCTTGAGAATTGCAGTGCTAACTTAAGTAGAAAGCTCAGAAAACAAATCTTGAGTGACAAGCTACAGGCATAGCTTAAATAATGTTAACAGTTTACTTATTTAAATAAACACCGACATGTTACGCATCTAGGGAAAAAATCAGGCACAATTGGATTCGCAGACAAGGAATTTGCAATAAATAACTTTATTTGAGAAAGCGGGTTGACCGTCGCTAAAGTTATTCAAGACAACCTTCTTCGGGGCAAGGTTTCTTGTGGTGCAGGGGGGATTTCACAGAATTAGTTTATGGAATTTCATGGAGGGATGTGCAAAAGTACATCAAGTTGTATAAATGTGATGATGAAATGGTCAGTGAGTCAAGCAACACCTGCGAGAACACGAGCCCTAAGGGCAGCTACTTAATTTTTCTGCCAGAACGCAGGCAGCAACAATGGCGCCGATTTCGAGGAAGGCGAGCAAAACTATGATGATTGCCATTGCGAGTGTCTTATCCTTTAGCACGTTGTACAAAGCTTCTCCGCAACCCTGACAAAGAAAACACAGAGGTAAGGATACGAACATGGGGAATCAATGACGGTTTCTAGATAACGAGGTCTAAAGTTGAACAGTTACGTTAATTACGATTATATAATCGGTCACTTGGATATAAGAAAACCCTGACTTCTAGATTCTTGCTCATCTACTCTTACTTGCTCTTCGAATCAATATAAATATATAGATATAGATATGGATATAGGCGAAAATGCTGACCCCAGGTGTTGAGATAGAATAAGAACGTAAGGTGACCTCTAGGGATCGCCCAGAGATCGCCTTATGCTCTTATTCCATATATATACATTTTTTACAAAATAATTGTTTCAATATCTATAGAAGAAACATTGGAATGATTTGGTGGCAAGTTAATAAACTAGGTGCATCAAAGAATAAACACCGGTAACCGGATAGCGCCTTATTTGTAATTATATGCAACCCATGCTTCCATGGGTATAAAACAGTCTTCGGCGTTTCGCAAACCGATAAGTTGTAGGGATGGTTAAAATGAAAACCATAGCACTTTGTTTCTGTTTAATGGGATTTTCTGGCCTAAATTCTGTCTCCGCTCTTGACACTTTTCGTCTTACCTGAGCATACATTTGTTGACAGGAGGTGATAACGTATGCACAACAGGAGTCCGGTTCCTGATTCTTCCAATCTTGGGGTCCCTCGCCTCCACAACACTTTAGCTATAGCATCACGTATCACATTTTAAATTTCACTCATACAAGACTCTGCAAATGATCGAGAGCGCTTTGTGCTCCTGCCATATTCACACTTCCAGCGGTCAATATCTGTTTAATGCGATACTGAATGTTCTTGGCAGTGAGTTCTTCGATCTAAACGAGCACTGGAAGGTAATAAAATGTTACCTTTTCACGATACACAAACAGCAGAATGCCCGCAGTAATTTCGAGGATTATCAACACGGTAATGATTTCAGCGAACTACACCATGGGGAGTAAGTCTGGACGCTATTGGCTTACTGTTTTTAGCATGCAAACATTTTCTGTGCAGGCGCCAATACAACCAAGAAAACCGAGCAGAAAGACCAGCAGACCGACAGCAAGCACAAAGGACGAAACACCAATCGTCTGTGTGATGGTGGATTTTAAAGATTCAATCACTAGGTAGATACCGAATCCGGATATCATCGTTCCACCAATCTGAAAGGCAAGAGCGAGATTATTAAAGTAAGCTAGAACTATTTATAACCTAGATGGATTTCAAATTCTATTCTCGCCTATATAGTCAATAGGAATCATTGAGTCTATCCCAACGAAGCCTTTCAGGTTGCTTAATCGGACACCAGCCAAAGGGCCTATGCCAACGGGTGCCAAGAACAGCCAAGTCGGCGGCTATATGGCTAGTGAATCCAGTGCCGTGCGGTCATAAGACACTAATACAAGCACTGTGTCTTCCGTGGCCAACGCTTACACCCGGTAGCGATCGCATTTCGCCTCCACACCATGATAACAGTTTTTTTCACTTCATGCTCGTGGCAGTGATTTTTGCTACTACTCACAGCCCACACTATTTCCTACTCCCAAGTCTAAAGTCCTCTGCGTGCCGACCTCGCCATGTGGGCGGTCTGAGAACGATTAATTTTAGTAATAAGACATTTATAAACCCTATCCAACTCTCCTATTTTCAGTATCAATGCAATTGTACAGGTCCGGTGAAGAATTGTGGATAACATATGCTTGCCGACTAGACCTTTAAGTAAAAACTACCATAAAACCAAAGAGGAAACCCATACTTTCTGCTGTTCATCCTTTCCTAAAATTGGATTTTCTTCCAATATAAAGGAAAAAGGAATTGTTATACAGATTCGCAGGTGAAAGAAGGATACAAAATATTGAAATGTATGCTCGCAAATTACTGTAGTTGATTTATTTTACTTTTATGGTTTTAAATACCCTTTCATATGGTCATATAATCGTCGGTTATTATTCCCTTCCACTGCTGTTCGGCACCAGTTTAACGGCTTTCCTTTCCTAAGTTTGTCGGCAAAACCGAGTGGTAAAATTAGCCAACTCAATGAAGACTTATTGTTTGGACCAAATTCGGTAGGGGATTAAAATCAGAAAGTTTTCTTTTCCCCATAATAAGTAAACATGTATGCGAACTGGACTTTTTTAGAAACTAACGACACTTTTAAACGAAGCCGTGCAAGTTGGAGTGGAAAATGGTCGACCATAAAGTAGATATATACCAAAACGATTAATCTCAACGATCAAAATTAGGTCTCAAATTATTTTTATTTTTGGCAAGGTAATAAACAGCCTACTGAACGAACTTGACAAATTCAAACGCAAAATGACTTACGAAGACGATGGCATTGAAGAAGAAAACGATGGATTTCAGATAAGGTCCATCTAAAGCGAGACCCATTTTAATTTTACCGTCTTGCTAAGGAAAATGACTATTCTGCCTTTATATAGGGAAACTAAGGTAGCCTTTGATTCATCCAATGATTTTAATGTAATTTATGTTTATGCAGGGAAGACGTTTTGGAACGGGCGGACTTCTAACCTATAGTATGTCCGTTGTCGACTTTCTTTCATCTCCTGACGTGAAAAATAGAATTGCAATGAAGAACACAGCTTCTTTTAATGTGGTTTAGGCAGGAGTTAACGGCACGTGTAACTCATCCCAAAATGTTTACATCATACTGACAAGCAAAGGGAACCTTTTGCTCTCTCAAGACTCTTTGAAACACACAAAAAACGGCTTGGCAGCAAAGGGGTCGTAGATTTGTAAACGATAACTGTTTTTTAAAATTAAATAAGCAGTCCCGCAGAGACCAGTGCAACGCTAGGGCCATCTCTCTTAAAAATTGCAGCATAATTTACTCCTTTTTAATTTCCCTATGCTAACGTATGTAAACGGTTCCATCTTATGCCTAAATTTCCAAGTGTTAGATTATGTTAAAATACGAAATGAGTGTTTCACTAATGTTTCTGCTTCTTCATTGTGCAGCTGCAAGGGCCTGTAGCGACATTGTATTTCTAAGCCATGCTTTCCACGGACGCCGCGGGGACAGGCCTTTCAGGGTCACTCTCTGTCTGGCTCATTGGCCACCCACTTCGCAAGGCCAGTGCAGAAAGGAACCGACCACGGGGGAGTTGTTTACGCTCAGTCACTCCCAGAACCGACGATCTACTGTTTGGTTGTAGTTGTCCGGACCCGGTGATCTACTTGCCGGGCTGCTCCTCTGGATTCCGGCCCATTTATGGCTGGATTGCACTTGTCTGGGAGTCACTTGCCAATTGCTTACATTCTACGTTTGTTACACCTTATTACATTATCCCTAAAACTCTGGCCTTCCACGCCTTATACTATCAACTAGCTTACAACCATTGGGACACTTTCATCTTCTATTATCTTGCTGGGCCACATCGTATCCCACGGGGCTTTGCTCCTCGGTTGGTCTCCCAGCATTCTCTTTACAATTCCTAGTATATTAACCGCAATTAATAATTTAGGTAACCGTTTCAAAAACTAATAGGTATAGGATATGGAGTTAAGCAACCAGGAGACGACTTTTTATGCCTAGATCCATGCAGCCGCAGAGGAATCGACAAAACACGTATCTGCGCTTTTAGCTAGTACCTATCCCCGGAGTTCGGTACTTTTTCAAAAAATATTTATACCACTTGTAGTAGTACTTGTTTTTATGATGAATATTGCGGGATTATTCGACAGCATTCGACTGTCTTCGACTCAGATGCTGTCTACAATTTACAGTCTCACTCTAAAAGATCCCTTGTCGGTCGTTTAACTAAATTTCCTGCACTTAATATAATCTGAAATTTTTACCTGGGTTTACCTTGGGTCTCCAACTAAATGAGGAGCCAATTAAATGCATGATGCGACAGTTGAAGGCAAATATACGCTGCTTCGCGCAATCACAATTTTCATCGGCTCTGCACCGAAATGTCACTCTTTAGTGGAAAAAGAGAATGGAATCCGTAGTGACTGAAAGCCCCCAGTGAGTAAGAGATGCTTATACATACTCCGAAGTTGTTTAACTCGTGTCTTCTAGGCTTCTTAACTGTAAGACAGTTGCGGTTTTCGAATTCTGGGTTCCCTGGTAATGCAGCCGTTTCGAAAATGTCCGTCAATCAGATATCTGGGTGAATGAACTCTGGTTGGTGTCGGTGCCTGAGAAGACAAGTGAAATGTTATGTCGATCACTCCGTCCACTTTACTTTAAAGTTCTGTCAACCCAGCCCTCAGCAAGACATGAGAATATGAACCCCTATTTCGTTGGCTTCGCACTGATTGTCATGGAGCTTATTTTTGGTGCTAAAAGTTGAATTACGGTTATGGTAGCGTTTGATTAACATAAGGCTCATTTCAGCTTTGAGGTTTTTATTAGATTTTGCAACATCACTCGACAATATTTATCCTTCCTGAAATGTTGTACAGAGCTACCCACACTGCCGAGAAATGTTTCTCTTCCCCTGTCTAACTCCGGCGCGTCACAAGAAAGGGACGGTAGAGCGGGGGGAGTTATTTCAGCCGATCTCGCAATAGTTGTACTGTAGGTAATGTATCAGCTTCCTAAGTCTCTGAAGTACGAAATACAAGCCATTCGCAGTCAGCTTCCTTCG